CGGTGTTTGCTTAATTTCTAGTTGGTCCTTTTTCAGGGCCTTGAGGGTCTCACTAAATTTATTGGCTTTTTCTATGAAATTCTTGAAAAACCTTATAACCGTGGTTTTGATCGCTATATCCAGGTGTTTGCTTTTCTCTATTTCTTTCATTTGTGACCTGTTTGTCTATGCATTTTGGCTGCTTCCTTGAGTTGATAGAGTGGCTTTGTGTGCTAGGTGTTCTATAGGGCCCAATGGCTCAGCCTCCCCAGTTACTTGAGATGGACATTCTTGGTGCACACTTTTGTGAGCTGTGTGCACAGTCTAGTTATAGTGAAGCCTTGATTGTTGTTGGTATCATGGGAGGAATTGACCTCCAGGCCCGTTGACTGTGAGAATCACTTGCATCTACGATAGGAGAACTTCTAAGCTGGAGACACCTTTATGGGGGAAATACTTCCTTCAGTGAGGCTTTGGTGCTCAGTGAGTCTGCCCCCTGAGTGTGGCTCTTATGGATCTGAGGAGTTGTAATCTGGATAGTCCCACTCTGACCCCTGGGTACACTGGCTCTCGGATCTCCAAGGAGGTGCTAATTTAGCCTATGACTGAGGCCACCCAGCAGGAGCTATGGAGAGTTCTGCAAATTCCTGTTCTTTGTTTGGGGTTTGGAGGTGCCAAGATTAGGCCCAGCTGTGAAGCAGTGCAAGCTGTTGTGGAGCCTTGGGCTTTCTTTTGGATGTTCTGAATCTTTCTGACTCAGCTGCAATTTGTTAGGTATGTTTAGTTTTCAATGTACCATGCCATTTATATGCAAAAGCCTCTACAAACCGCTGGGATGGAGCAGTATCTCCGGGCAGAGCAAACAGTAATGGCTTCCCATCAGCCCTGCCCTAAGAGGCCCCCGGGTCTCAGTGTCCTGCAGTAATTGCTGCAAGCAACTCTGAGAAAAAGCCACTCTTGAGTTCCACCCGCTGGCTGACAGTCCAGTTTCGCCCCATATGAGTCTAGGTCCCCAGAGTCTCACCCACAATTGGAGTCCTGAGCAATCGGGAGCTTGTTTCTTCCTACAGGTGAAAAAGACAGCCACAATCTCTTAGGAGAAAATGGTGACTGGGACTCAGGTATGACTCAGCACCAGAATTGCTACCACCTCTCCAGGACTGCTGCCCACTCTCCCTAGAATCCACCAGTCTACACCTTCTCCTACACCTCAGCCATGGGAGAGAGAGAACTTGCATAACCAGACACCCAGAGAAGAGAGATCATGGGGAGACAAAGAAACAGTTCACTTATGAAAGAAAAGCAGGAATCACCAGAAAAGGAAGTAAACGAAATGGAGGCAAAGCAACCTGTCAGAGAATGAATTCAAAGAAATTGTCATGAGGTGGCTGAAAAGAATGGAAGACAAATTTGACAATATGTTTAAGAAACAAGAAGAAATGAAGAACCAAGAAGAAATGTAAAATGACATTGTTTCTGTGAAGAACTCAATAGAAAGCATCAAGAGTAGGCTAGAAGAAGCAGTGGACCACATCAGTGACCTAGAAGACAAGGTAGTAAAAAATACCCAAATAAAGCAGCTTCTAGAAAAAAAAATTTAAAGCAGGAGGAGAGACTAAGGGAACTTTGGGATAGCACAAAACAAAACAACAACTGCATAATAGCGGTTCCAGAAAGAGAGGAAACTGAGCAAGGAATAGAAAACCTGTTTGAAGAAATAATGACAGAAAACTTCCCTGATATAGGGAAGAAAAAACCCACACAAATCCAAGAAGCTCACAGAGCCCCAAGCAAATGAACCCCAAAAGACTGACATCAAGGCACATTATAGTTAAATTGGCAAACACCAACAACAAAGTAGGAATCTTAAAAGTGGCCAGAGACAGAAAGGATCCCCCATCAGGCTAGCAACGGATTTCTCAACAGAAACACATCAGGCCAGAAGGGAATGAATGAAACATACAATGTCATGCAAAGGAAAGGTCTGAATACAAGAATACTGTACCCAGTAAGGCTATCAATCAAAATTGAAGGTGAAATCAGGAGCTTAATAGACAAAAAAGGACTAATGGAGTCTATTACCACCAAACCAGCAATGCAGTAAAAAAAGGGTTTGCCCTATCACAGCTTAACCAAACTAACTGCAGCTCCGGTGAAATAGCTCCAAAACCTCCAAACCCAAAGCAAAGAGGAGAAAAAGGTAGTTCTTGCTGTAGCTCCTGCTGGGTGTCCTCAGACAGTAGCTGACCTTAACGCCATTGGAGATTCAGAAGCTAGTGTGTCTAGTGGTCTGTGTGAGATGACACCAGATTTCAAATCCTCACATCCATAAGTGACACATTCAAGAGGCAGACTCAGTGAGCACCAAAGCCCCACTGAAACAAATTTTGCCCCATAAGCGTGTCTCCAGCATAGCAATTCTTCCATTATAGACACAGTGGGTCCTCACAGCCAATTGGCCTGGAGGTCAATTCCTCCCAGTAACACCAACAATCAAGACTTAACTACATCAAGGCTGTATACTCAGTCCACAAAGGGGTACACCAAGAGTGTCCACCTCAGCCGAAACCAGTTTGCATCAGTGGATAGAGCATTGGCCTGTGGACTGAAAGGTCCCAGGTTCGATTCCAGTCAAGGGCATGTACCTTGGTTGTGGGCACATTCCCAGTAGGGGGTGTGCAAGAGGCAGCTGATTGATGATTCTGTCTCATCAATATTTCTAACTCTCTATCCCTCTCTCTTTATCTCTGTGAAAAATCAATAATATATATATATATACATTTTTTAAAAAGAGTGTCCACCTCAGGTAACTAGAAGGCTTACCCATTGGACCATATAGGACACCTAGCACATAAAGCCACCTTACTAGTTAAGGGAAGAAGTGAAAATGAGTAGACAAGGAAACAGATCACACATCAAGAAATGGAGGATTTCAAGCTGTATTACAAAGCCACTGTTCTCAAAACAGCATGGTACTGGTACAAGAACAGAAATATAGACTAATTGAATAGAATAGAGAACCCAGATATCAACCAAAACCACTATGCTCAATTGATATTTGACAAAGGAGGCCCGGAACAGCCAGGCCCGGAGTGTTGTGGGGTCAAACCCTGGGTTCAAAATGTAAGGAATGAAGGAGCAATGCAGCCAATTCGGGTACCAGAGCGTTATGTCCGTCATCACAATGGACTCAGAGAAGCTCCTGTGTCCCTTCACCCAAAGCGACTGAGAGTTTCCCAGACGACAGCAAAGTGGGAGAAGAAAACTGAAGGCTACGCAAAGGACTGTGGTGCTGTTGGGCCAAAGACCCCCCTGGTCTCTGGTCCTGACCGGTGGCGACCCCGAGAGAGAGCCAGGAGACCAAATTGATGCAAATGCAAGAGGCTTTATTCGAGCGCTCGGTCTCACAGCCTGCAGCCACCAAGGGGTGAGTGCTAGCTGGAGCCCCGAACAAGAGGAAGGGTACAGTTTTTAAAGGCAAAAACCACACGCAGGTGGTTAAAAATTTTCCATTCTATTCTAGGTTATGCAACGGTTATATCCTGTAGCTGTTATTTGCTCAAACCCGCAAGATTAGCCAAGCAGATAGGTTGTTTTGCAACCCAGGACCAAGAGCATTCTGCGGTTAGGGCGTTAGGTTCTTGGAACTGGGGCAGGGTAGGTTGACGAGGGGGGGTTTAGGGAGGTTCAGTCTAACAGTGCCAACATGGAGTCATCTGAAGAAATTAAAGACTGAAGTGGAAGGTACTTCTTTAATCATGTTCCTGCTCATGCTAGCATGTTAGCTTCCAGTCTTCTGCAAAGTCTTGTGCAGCAAGTCCAAGGACTCTGAGTAAATCTACACCAGCAACAAAAGAGACTCATTTAGTAGCTAAAAATATTAATATGTCCATAATTCTGATTTCTCATTTTGTTGTTTTGCATTGGCATTATTGTTATTATTTAATAGCCAGAGTTTTGCTCTTGACATTCAAGTTTTAAAAATAACATATATGTGGTTTAGTTTAAAATAAAATGAAAAAATATTTGACAAAGGAGGCATGAACATACAATGGAGTCAAGACAGTCTCTTCAATAAATGGTGTTGGGAAAATTGGACTTATACATGCAAAAAAATGAAACTAGAACACCAACTGACACCATACTCAAACATTAACTCAGAATGAATAAAGGACTTACACATAAGATGGGAAATTGTAAAAATACTAGAGGAATCCACAGGAAGAAAAATCTCAGACATGTGCAGAAGGAACTTCTTCACTTTGTCTAAGTAATGTAGATATAGTCTGTAACAATAATGTAATCCCGCTAACTACTGTCTGAAATGTTTGCTGTATGGAAACCCCCAAACTCTGTAACTTCCAAAATTAATGAACACCCCAATATCTTGATGTAAAAGCTCTGCGCACTGAAAATGTAAACTCCCTGCTCCCAATATAAGGCACATCATCTGGCCCACACTGATAAGGACACAACTTGTTTATGGCGGTCCATATAACCCCAGACCAGCTTAGAGGAGGACTCCACGTTGCTCAGAGAGTCAAGCCCCTGGTTGCTCTGCTGGGTGAGCCTGAACCAACTGCGGCCGCCTGCCTGTCTCTGTTTTCAGCGTCTGTCCTTCAGTGTGCAGGGCCGGGTGGCCTTTGCCAGAGCCTAGGACCCACTAGGAATAGGTAGATAAACCCTGTGTGATTGCATCCTGATTCTGTGTGTCATGGTTTCAGGTTCTGCTCAGCTGTCTAGACATTGAAGTACCAGGGGACAGGCCGTTATTGCTGACTCCTGGTCACCTGCGTTTGTCCCAGTGAGTCTAGACAGATAATTAATTGGGACTTAATTGGGACACTGCCCCTCTCACCCACACCCAGGCTCCCGCTGGGCGCCTCCACCAGCCCCACTGAGGGGCTGGCTCTGTCCGTCATGGGGCGGGACGAGGTAGCCGCGCCCACGAGGGCGGGTCTCCAGGACGGCGCTTCCAATAGGAAGGCGCTTCCGGTGACTACGTGTGCGTCCCGGGGGACTGAGGAGCGCGCCCGTCCGGTGGAGTTGGTTCGCCCGGGACCCAGCCATCCGCTTTCCACCGTCTGAGAGGCGGCCGCGGACTCCTCACAAGTTCAGGGCTGGACTCGGAGCCCGGATCCCCGCCCGCCACCCCGGAGCCCGGTCCGGAGCCCGAGGAGCGCCGGCTGCCGTTCCCTGCGGGACCCAAAGGGAAGCGCGAAGGCGAAGGGGGGCAGGTGAGTCTGGCGGGGCCCAGGGAGGCAGCACCGCAGACGGCGCTGGGCAGCGAGGGCCAGGGAGGCAGAGAAATAGAGAAGGACGCAGGAAAAGGCGTTGTGAAGACCAAGGGAGGGAAGGCTCCGCGCGAGAAGAGTGTTCCCTGGGCTAAATGCCACTGCGAAGCCATGGGGAACACTAAGAACCAAATGGGCATTGGATTTGGTAAGAGCGGCTTGCAGGTACATCGGGTCCCACTTACACTGAAGCCCGAAAAGTCTAAGATTTGGCAGTGGGAACACAGGTTATAGAGGGGAGGTATGCTTAGTGTCCTCCCCTGGCCTGCTTCCGAAATAATGAATTGGTCCCTTGGAATTTCAAAAGGTAAGTAATTAAACCAAACTAACTCTAGGCTTTTATATGTTAGATTAGTTTAGATCCTGGGAGGATGGGGGGGGGGGGCGGGGGGAAGACACACACACGTTTTTATACTGTCCACTAGACAAGGGCATCCAGGAATGAAGCAGAGAATTTTTTTTTTTTTGCTTCTAGTAAATATTTTTTATTATTTTTTTTAAATAAATTTTTAATGTTCATAATATTACACATGTTCCTTTCCCCCCCTTCTCACCCCACCCTCTGCCCTTTCCCCACCCCCCATTGTCCTCATCCATAGGTGCACAGTTTATGTTCAGTCTCTTCCCACATCCCCCTCTCCCCTTTTCCCCAAGAATAAACAGTTCACTCCCCTTCCATACCTCTAATTCTATTATGTTCAACAGTTAATATTGTTCCTCAGATTTTTTTTTTTTAGTTTCCTTGGTTTTTAGATTCACTTGTTGATAGTTACGTATTTGTTGTTTATAATTTTTATCTTTATTTACTTTCTCTTCTGAAAGAACCCCCTTCAGCAATTCATATAATTCAGGTTTGGTGGTGATGAACTCCTTTAGCTTTTTTTTATTAGTGAAGCTCTTTATCTGACCTTCGAATCTGAGTGATAGCTTTGCTGGATAGATTATCTTTGGCTGTAGATTCTTGCTATTCATCACCTTGAATATTTCTTGCCATTCCCGTCTGGCCTGCATGGTTTCTGTTGAGAAATCAGCTGACAATCGTATAGGTGCTCCTTTATAGGTAACTACCTTCTTTGCTCTTGCTTCTTTTAATATTCTCTCTTTGTCTTTTGCTCTTGGAATCTTAATTATGATTTGTCCTGGTGTGGTCCTCTTTGGATTCCTTTTGTTTGGAGTTCTGTGCGCTTCCTGGGCTTGTAAGTCTAATTCTTTCATCAGGTGGGGGAAGTTTTCTGTCACTATTTCTTTCAGTATGTTTTCGATATCTTGCTCTCTCTCATCTTCTGGGACCCCCATAATTCTGATGTTGGTTCGCTTGAAGTTGTCCCAGAGGTTTCTTACATTATCTTCAACTTTCTGGATTCTCTGGCCTTCTTGCGTCTGCGGAGGAGTGTCTTCTGGCTCTTTATGTTCCAAATCTTTGACTTGATTCTTGCGATCTTCCATTCTGTTTTTGGGACTCCATAAAATATTATTTATTTCAGACAATGTATTCTTTATTTCTTGTTGATCCCTTATTATTTCTAGTTGATCCCTTTTCATATCCTCATAGGTCTTGTTTATTTTATCGGCCTTTTCTAGGAGATTCTTGAACAACCTTATAAGTGTGGTTTTGAATTCTATATCCAGTCACTTTTTGTCCTCCATTTCTTTGGTTTGTGATCTATTTGGTTTAGGCATTTTCGCAGGAAGCTTTCCTGATGGGGTGGGGTTTCAGGGTGGAGCCTTCAGCCTTGGCTTCCGTCAGCCCCGCCCTATGCGACTCCTGAGACTCAGGGTCCTTCAGTACTTGTTGCAAGCGCCTCTGAGAGAAAGGTGCCCTCGATTTTCGCCTGCTGCCAAACTCTATGCTCTCCCCCAATGAGTCCGGTATTGGGGTTCAGTTCAGTAGGTAGTGGGATTGGAGGTGGCGTTCAGAGCAGTCTGGAGCCCCTGTCTCCTTCCCGTCAGGGCAATCCCGCGGCACAGCCGGCCGGCCCTTCTCTGTGCGCAGTGTACGCGCCTCCGGGACCTCCTTTCACCGCTTCCCCGGAGTCCCGCCTTACAGCCCGGCTCCCTATGGATGAGCCTGGGTCCCCAGGGTCTGGCCTAGAATTGGGGTTCAGAGCAGTTGGAGCTGGGCCCAGCACAGTCCGAGCTTTTCTCTCCTTCCCGCTTGGGACCGCCAGCCAGGCTCTCGGCCTCCCTCCTCTCTGGCTCCGTCCTCTCCGCGCATGCCGTGTGTCTCCGTACCTTGGGCTTTTACTGCTCCTCCGAGCTTCCTCCTGATTTGCTCCTTGCTTCTTGTTGTAGAATTTCCAGTCAGTCGATTTTCCTGTAGTTCTGGGTAATGTCCATTTTATATTTTAGTTGTATTTTATTGAAATTGTTGTGTGCGGCTGCGGCCAGTTGCCTACCCGGGCAGCCATCTTGGATTCTCCCCGAAGCAGAGGATTTGAGTAAACACCCGGGCGCCTGCATAAGCATAAGGTCAAGAAATACTTAGGGGTGCCACCTTCGACACTCCCCTAACTCGGAATTACAATAAACAGGGCAGGCAGCCTTCCACTCACTTCCCTGTTATCAGAATGTCCTCTGTAAAAACCAAGTCTCTTGTGCTTCCAAACATGTAAGGAAGGGGTTAGAGAACAGTCAGGAATCTGGAGTGAATGAAACCTAACCCAGTCAGTACCTTGGAACTTTAGGACATTTGTAGATGAGCATGAAGTGCATTCAACCTCCACATCATAGGGTGTTGGTGTTGCTTATATCATAGAAAAGCTGAATAAAATACTGAGCAACTGAAGGTATTAGAGAAAAATCAAGTCAGACAGAACTTGAAGGAAATTGCTGCAGAGAATGTGGGAGCACCTAGGAAGGCCCACATTTACCTGTGCTTCTGCCCAGAACATTTACTAACTCAGAGAGTAAGGAACAGGGACCAAGCTGAAAGAGGTGGCCAGGGCTGGTAGCATTTCAGTTGGCTGGGAAGAAGGAAGTTGGAGTTCAGAGATACCATGGAGTCTGAGATTTTAAATGGAAGTGGAAACCTTAGACAAATGTGCCCAAAATTCACTGTGCAGGTTCCACTTGGGGTGTTTGTCAGTTCCAAAGCTGTACATGCCCAAGGCAAGATTCCCAGCCCCTAGGTTGAAGGCAACGGTTGCAAGGCTAAACAGTTGTGCAGCCCAGCCAGCGTGGCTCAGTTTGAGCATTGATCTATGAACCAGAATGTCTCAGTTTGATTCTCAGGGCACATGACTGGTTGCAGGCTCAATTCCCAGTGTGGGGCGTGCAAAAGGCAGCTCATCAGTGATTCTCATCATGAGAATCTTCCTCTCACTCCCTCTCCCTTCCTCTCTGAAATCAATACAAATATCCTATTTAATAAAGAGAGAATATGAAAATTGACCACCACAAAGATGGAGGCGACCACAGAAGGGGGTGGGGGTTCTAACAAGATGGCTGTACCTACAGCAGAGGCAGGGGTTTTTGTAACCCAAGCAGAGGCTGAGTTGCCTTAATGAGACTTATCCAGCAATCAGAGGGACCTGAGGCTGGGTCCCCCACCCAGCTGGGCTTGACAGGGGAATCTCTGGCCATGTGCCCCACACGGCAGGACTTGATGGGGGACCTCAGACAACTCCCCCCAGCCCTGGCACTAGGCCGGTAACCTCATACCACGTCCCCACCCAGCAAGCCTTGACTGGGACCCACAAGGCACATCCCTAGTCTGGTCCAGGGGAACCTGAGGATGCATCCCAAAACCAGGTGGGTCTTCACTGCAGCCACGAAGCTTTGCCCTGGACACTACACCAGGGGACCTAAGGCTGCGCTCTGACTGGCCCAGGGGACCTGAGGCTGCACCTCAGGTCCTGCGGGGCTGGGACAGGACAGGTCTGAGTCTCGCATGATTATGAAAAGTGCACAGGTTGGTGGGGACTTGACTCTGGGTCCCCTGGCACACCCCAGACTCTGACAAGAGAGGAAGATTTTCATAGATAGTTTACTAATTTTCTTTAATCTCTGACACATATTATAGTGAAAGGGCAAATACCAATATTAAAATATTTGGTCTTATTAATTCCCTTTGAATGTGCAGCAATTTTGTGCACCAGGTCACTGGTACTAAAATTTTACAAAAGGTGTCACAGAGTGAGTATGCAGTTGAAATTACTGCAGTGAGTAGGAGGACAGAGAAATCAACATTGTCATGCAATAAAAACATTTTCCTAGTTCTTTGAGGCCCAAAATGAGGAATTTGACAATGAGTATGCCAGTGTAGAGATCCATTAATATTCTTTCAAAATTAAATTTCCAGAGTATTTTTATATGAAGCACTATCATTTTGGCATACAGTAAATTAATTTGGAAGAAGTACTCAGGTTAATATTTTCCTGTGTGTTTCCTCCAAGCTACCTGAGCTGCAACTGCTCTTCCACAAGAAGATCCATCAGACACTGCTCAAGTGAGTTCTAGTCCATAGTTCATATATAAGCCTCAGAAATATGTCCAGGCCTGAGTAGAGAACTCTGTAACAGTGCCCTCGGCTCCCTCCCACTTGTCAGGATGACCTCCCTCCTGGGAAAATCACATCCAGGGCTTGCTGAGGTCTAGATTTCCCTGCCTGAAGCTCAGTTCTCTCCAGCTGGGCTCTCCTCATCATTCTCAGATTTCTGCGACGTCACCACCTACTTTAAAGGGAATTGCCATCCCTTGGAGTCAGGAGAACCAAGTTACTGCCTGAACCTACTTTTGTTTTTCTGCAGTTAATCCAGTTACTTTCCCTGGGCCTCACAGAGACCTGTGCAGCTCCAATGGCAATTCTCCCAGGTTTTCCAGGAGGGAGACGAGCATTCCAGAGAAACCCCAGGAAAATTGGTTTGAGTCAGTCCCCCTCTTAACAGTGGAGCTTGTAGTCTGAACTAGTGCACATGTGAAGTTCTTTCCCTTCCTGTTCAGGATGAGCCGGTGGGAGTACCAGTGTACCGATCCATTAGTGTCTTTTGTCTAACTTAAATTTCCATAGTTTTACTTTCCATATTAAGCACTATCATTCTGTGCAGACAATAAGTCTACATTTAGAAGAAGGCTGTTGACAATACCTGTGTGAAGGTACCAGAGGAAACAACCCCTTCCATCAAGTATCTGCTGTTGGGTCTCTATATATATTATTTTTAATTTCAGTCAATGCATGCTTAATTCCTAGTTGGTCCTTTTTCTACCCTCGAGGGTCTCACTAAATTTATCAGCCTTTTCTAGAAAATTCTTGAAAAACCTTATAACCATGGTTTTGAAGTCTATATCCAGGTGTTTGCTTTCCTCCATTTCTTTCATTTGTGACCTGTTTCTTTGTCTTCGCATTTTGGCTGCTTCTCTGTGTTGATAGAGTGGTTTGGTGCGCTAGGTGTCCTATAGGGCCCAGTGGCTCAGCCTCCCCAGTTACCTAAGGTGGACACTCTTGGTGCACCCCTTTGTGGGCTGTGTACACAGTCGTTTTGTAGTTAAGCCTTGATTGTTGTTGGTATCACTGGGAGGAATTGACCTCAAGGAAAATTGGAAGTGAGTGTAAGCTGTGTCTATGATGGGAGAACTTCTGTGCTGGAGACACACTTATAAGGCAAGACTTGCTTCAGTGTGGCTTAATGCTCACTAAGTGTGTCCCTTGTAGATTTGAGCAGTTGTAATCTGGATGGTCCTTCTCTGGCCCCTGGCTACATTTCTCTTGGATCTCCAAGGAGGTGCGAAGTTAGCCTCTGCCTGTGGCCACCCAGCAGGCGCTATAGAGAGATGATCAGATTCCTGTTTTTTGGGTTTTGAAGACTTCCAGATGAGGCCCAACTGTGAAGCAAATGCAATCTACCGCGGGGCCTCGGACCTTTTGCATGTTCTGGGTCTCACTGACTGAGCTGCAGTTTGTTACCGTTTTTGCCGAAAATAAGACCTGCTTACAGGTTTCCTTCTGAGTGAAATATAAGGCATCCCCTCAAAAATAAGAAATGGAGTCACAAGAAATTCACTAGGAAATTCAGGAATTGGCTTGTTCCAGAAGATGATGACATGATTATTTAATAAATGAGAAAAATCTTGATACTATAGATTCACAGTTTTTCTGGTTTGTGTTGACAACTACTATACTACCGTACTGTATACAGGTAATAAATTTCCTTTATTTTCATTTAACAATAAATGTGTACCGTATTCTTCTTCATGGAAAAATAAGACATCCCCCGAAAATAAGACCTAGTGTATCTACGGGAGCAAAAATTAATATAAGACACTGTTTTATTTTTGGGGAAACAGGGTAGGTAAGTTTAGATTTTAAAGCACCAGGCTATGCATATGCAAAACCTCTGTGCGCCGCTTGCATGGGACAGAGTCTCAGGGAAGAGGAAACAGCAATTGCTTCCCATCAGCCCTGCCCTCAGAGGCCCCGGAGTCTCAGTGTCCTGCAGTAATCACTGCACGCACCTCTGAGAGAAAGCTGCCCTTGTGTTCCCCCTGGTGTCAGACAGTCCACTTTCTCCCCGTATGAGTCTGGGTTCCCAGTCTCACGCACAACTGGAGTTCAGAGCATTCAGGAGCTTTTCTCTCCTCCCACCTGATAAAGACAGCCACGTACTCATTTGCCAGGCCTCTCCATGTGCATCTCTCTACTTCTGCCTTTACTTCTGCAATTCCTCTCAGTGTCGGTGTGCCTTTATCTTTCTTTCTGGTTGTAAAATTTCCACTCAGCAAGCCTTCTTGTGGTTCTGGATGATGTTTGTTTTGTCTTTTAGTTGTAGTTTTAAAATTGTTGTGCGACGGCCTGGCCTCTCTAGACCCATTTACAGCAGGGTGTTCAATCACGTTCCACCTCGCAGGCTCTCGATCTCTCCAGAACCCCCAGCCTCCACAAAGAAAGCTTATTTTCAGGTGATGTACTTATTTTATATGCAAAATATCTTACTCCTCATCCCAGCAGCACACTCTCCTCCAAGACGGAGCAAAAGACCTGTTGTGTCAGCAGGCAGGGGCCTGCAGCAGACCCTCATGGTGACGGGGCCATTGGCTTAGGAAAACGAGTCAAATGCTGATGTCTAGTGGTTTCCCTGCTTCCCCAGGACTCACTGAGGTCAGACAGGCTTGGATTCCCTTCTGTGACCCCAACTGCCTCTGTGACCCCAACTGCCTCTCCTTCCCCATCCCTCTCATCACCCAGGGTTTTGTTTCTCAGGACAGGCAGGGCTGTGGCATAGCAACAAGAGCAAGCCAGCCCCAGGGCCTGGCACACAGGTGCTCAGTCACGACATGCTGAATGAGTTTCAGATCGGAATATTCTCCTGATATAGGTAAGAAGGCTGATGATTATTCTCTGCCTGGAAGATGGCTTGGGGTCTGGACGGGCGCACAGTCTCTGGATTCAGGCTGAGACCTGGGTTCAAATCTAACCCACAATATACCTGGGGCCTGGACCTGAGCATGAAGTGGACATCCCTTTCCCCATCTGTAAAATGGCGATAATAATTCCAGCCTCCGGGAATTTTCTGAGGGCTGAGATCATGCATGTGGGGAAGCCCTATATAAATTGAAAAACACAGTGTTTCAATAATGTTCCTGTCCCTCTTGACCGACTTGGACAAGGTTACGTCCAAGGTTATGTGTCAGGCCTCAGATCCTCAGCTCCTAGCTCCCTTCCCTCCACTGACCAGCAGTAATATTGTAAGGTTCAAGGGCAGTGTCCTTCCCACGGTGTCGTGTCTCCTGTCACATAGTCCTATCTCTGGACCCCAGCTCCCAGCACAGGGCCCTGCACACAGGGCAGTCTGCCCCTCGGGTGACCCAGTGTTTCAGGAGGACCCTTCCCTGGTTTGTGGGCCACTTTCCCACTGTCTAACCTTCCCCAGCCGTTCCCTTCAGGAAACTCTCTGCCCAGGGAAGCCCAGTTGCTGTGTGCTCCCTGGCCCTCACCACCTCTCAGGGTCTGTCTTCCCTGAACAGGCCATGTGGCCTCTGAATGCCTATTTCTTCTTCTGTAAAGGGAGCATAACTCATGGCTGGGCACAGTATGTCAGAATAGTTAGTCCTCTTCTCTCTCAGGACTTCCCATGAGTCATGATCCCAGCCTGTCAGTCAAGTCTCTCTGACTCTCAGCTCACAGCCTGGCTGGGCAGATATGGTCAGTCACCATCCCCTGCCAGGTGGCAGACTGTGTGACCTTGGGAAGGGATGTAGCCTCTCTTGGCCTCAGAGTTTCGACCAGTTTTGTCTGAAGATGGCATGGGGAATCGCCAACGCTGAGCCAGAATATAAAAATCCCTGAATCTCAATAAACAGCAACTCTCTGCCCCTCCAAAAAAAAAAATTTAATTAAAAATAAATAAATAAAATAAAATTGTTGTGTGAGGCAGCATATCATGTGTTTACCTATGCCCCCATTTTGGCTTCTCAGTTAGTGTTTTTGTTAATGTTATGAATGTCTTTTTTGTTACTGCTTTTTCATCCATTTAAAAAAAATTTATCCTAGAAGAAAATTATTTTATGTCAAAGTTATTTTATGTCTCCCTGTAATTAGTTCTGTAAGAATGTCCATCATTTCAAGACAACTTTTCATCTGAAATCTGTAGCAATTCTCTTATATTTTGTAGCCAAAAACGAGTTTGTTTATTCCATCCAAATTACTTCAAAACTCAGGAAACAAGTGTACTTTAGGACATGGGTAAAGTGACTCATTTTAAGCTATGCTTACTCAAACAGATTACATCAGGTTCTTATACAAAGCTTTGCAGTGCAGTTGTTTGTCATTTTTAAAGTCAACAATTGACCCTAGCTAGTTTTGCTCAGGGAAAAATGTGGACTGAAGGCTCCAGATTTGATTCCTGTCAAGGGCATATGCCTAGGAATAAATAAAGTCAATAGTTGACTTCCAGTGCTCTCCTTCTGATGGTCATTTCCTCTTTTCTCAGGATCGCCAAAGTGGGTCAGAGCATCCTAAGCACTGAGTCTTGCTACAGATGCCAGAATGAGAAGGCGCAAGAGTCCTGATCCCCACCAACCAGCCTCTCAGGTGACCATTTCTGGGCCTGGGACAGGAACCACTGTGCCCCTGGCTGCCCCCTCTCCTGTCACCTTCACCGTGTTCAACCCACAGAGGCCCCCATCTGAGGTTGGTGTGACCTTTGAGGATGTTGCTGTGCGCTTCTCTAAGGAGGAATGGTGCCTCCTTGATGAGGCTCAGAGACACCTGTTCCTGGAAGTGATGCTGGAGAACTTTGAACTCACATCCTCTCTAGGTTGCTGCTGTGGAGCAGAGGATGTGGAGGTACCTACTGAAGAGCTTATTTCTGTGAGAGTGTCAAAGGCAAAGAACCCCAAGGTAGCTTTATCCTCCCAGAAGAGCCATCCCTGTAAGAGTTGTGGGCGAGTCCTGAAAGACATCTTTTATTTGTTTGAACAGCAGGGAACACCACATAGCCTGAAACTGTTGAGGTGTGGGGCATGTGCAAAGCAGTTTTATTTCAGCAAGAAAGCCATTGGCTGCAACCAGTCGCTTGCTCAGGACCATAGTGTCCATAATGGAATACAGTGTCTTGTGTGCCGTGAATGTGAGAAGTCTTTTACAAAAATCTCTGACCTCCATAATCATCAGAAATTTCACACAGGAGAAAGGCCATACAAGTGCAGTGAATGTGGGAGATGCTATAGAAAACACTCCACACTCATTCAACACCAGCAAGTTCATTCTATAGAAAAGTGTCATGAGTGTGCTGAATGTGGGAAATTCTTTATCCAAAGGGGAGCCCTTGTGCAACACCAGAGAGTTCACACTGGAGAAAAGCCATATAAATGTGATGAGTGTGGAAAATCCTTTAGTCAATCTTCAACCCTCGTTGAACACCAGAGAGTTCACACTGGAGAAAAGCCATATGAGTGTGTTGAATGTGGGAAATATTTTGCCACAATCTCTAGACTTTATGGCCATCAGAGACTTCACACTGGAGAAAGGCCTTATGAGTGCAGTCAGTGTGGAAAATCTTTTACCAGAAGCTGTAATTTGCATCGTCATCAGAAATGTCACAGCGGAGAAAAACACGAATGCAGTCAGTGTGGGAAATCTTTTACCGATAGGGGAAACCTCCGTCGTCATCAGAGACTTCACAATGGAGAAAGGACTTATGAGTGCACTCAGTGTGGGAAATCTTTTACCGATAGCAGAAACCTCCTTTGTCATCAGAGACTTCACACTGGAGAAAGGACTTATGAGTGCACTCAGTGTGGGAAATCTTTTACCACTAGCGGAAACCTCCGTTTTCATCAGAGGGTTCACACTGTAGAAAGGCCTTATGAGTGCACTCAGTGTGGGAAATCTTTTACCACTAGCAGAAACCTCCGTCGTCATCAGAGCGTTCACACTGGAGAAAGGCCTTATGAGTGCACTCAGTGTGGGAAATCTTTTACCACTAGCAGAAACCTCCGTCGTCATCAGAGCGTTCACACTGGAGAAAGGCCTTATGAGTGCACTCAGTGTGGGAAATCTTTTACCACTAGCGGAATCCTTCGTTTTCATCAGAGGGTTCACACTGGAGAAAGGCCTTATGAGTGCACTCAGTGTGGGAAATCTTTTACCGAAAGCAGAAGCCTCCTTTGTCATCAGAGGGTTCACACTGGAGAAAGGCCTTACAAGTGCACTCAGTGTGGGAAATCCTTTACCACTAGCGGAAACCTCCTTCGTCATCAGAGACTTCACACTGGAGAAAGGCCTTACAAGTGCAGTGAATGTGGGAAATCTTTTATCAGGAGCTGTCATTTGAGTGATCATCAGAAATGTCACACTGGAGAAAAACATGAATGCCATCAGTGTGGGAAAACTTTTACCACTGGTGATGGCCTTGGTCGACATCAGAGACTTCACACTAGAAAAATATATGAATGCAGTCAGTGTGGGGAATCTTTTACCACTAGCAAAAGCCTCCTTTTTCATCAGAGTGTTCACACTGGAAAAAGGCCTTATGAGTGTACTCAGTGTGGGAAATCCTTTACCTCTAGCGGACACCTCCTTCATCATCAGAGACTTCACAATGGAGAAAGGCCATACAAGTGTAGTTAATGTGGGAAATCTTTTACCAGGAGCTGTCATTTGAGTGATCATCAGAAATGTCACACTGGAGAAAAACATGAATGCAGTCAGTGTGGGAAATCTTTTACCACTGGTGATGGCCTTGGTCAACATCAGAGACTTCACACTGGAGAAAAACATGAATGCAGTCAGTGTGGGAAATCTTTTACCACTGGTAATGGCCTTCGTCGACATCAGACACTTAACACTGGAGAAAGGCCTGATGAGTGCAGTCAGTGTGGTAAATCTTTCACCACTAGCCATGTCCTCCGTCACTATCAGAGACTTCACATTATTGAAAAGCCTTATGAATACAGTCAGTGTGGGCAGTTGTTTGCCATGAACAAATACTTGTATCATCATTAGAGAGTTCACATGAGAAAGGCCTCAGGATTGCAGTGAATGTGGGAAATATTTTGCCAGAAACATCACTTTCATTGTCATCAGACTGTTCACAGGGTGTGCCCATACTTTTGGAGGCAATCACTTTCAAAGACCGTGCAAAGGGCCATGTGTCCTAATGTTTGCAACTTTATTTGTGATGGTCACTTGGGTGTACGTAAGTAGGGTTTAAGGGAATGCATATCTGCTACAGAATCACTGGCCTAATAGGGATTGTGCATAATTCTTATAATGGAGATAGGTTTAATTTCTCTTCATTAATAACTCATAATGCAATGTCCAAGTCAGAAGAGAGGTGAATGTTTAACTTAGAGAAATTAGAAAGTTGTGATTTAAGCCAATTGCACATTTTTGCATCCTTCCAGATTCTCTTCTATCACAGATTTAATTCCTCCACATTCTAGAAAAGATTTGGTTTGGTCAGTCATCCTTTATTTAAACTTTTTTGTAACTTTGTCATGCTATGTCATTGTTCAGTTGCATTTTCTTCTAAGGTTTTATGGTGAGACCTTTTTCAGATGTGCATTTGCTATCTACATTTGGTTAATTTCTGAGCATATGTTCTGCCAAATCTATGAATTTTGGCAATTTTCTTTAAGAAATGAGCAGTTAAATAACAAAAAGGAAGGTTGGAATTTCTCTGTTTGCATCGCTTTTGCTTTGTAGGATAAGTGTTTTTCATGTTGGAAAAAAAGCAAATAAATAATTTAGTCAATATAAGGGTCTTATTTCATTCTTTCGAAGTGAATTCCTAGATTTCCCAGCACTGTTTATTGAAGAGAAACTATCCTCTCCCAACTGTGTATTATTGGCTCGTTTGTCGGAGAGGAGGAGTTGGCAGTATATGCAGGGGGCTAGAGGACTCCTTGTAAATCGGTCCTTCTTGGGGACATCACAGTGGGCTGCAGAGGTACTAAAGGGAAAGGACAAATGAACCAGCTTAAGACTGATCTTCACAGTCAGTTTAGAGGCAGCACTGCAATGTGACAAGAGCCCTGAGTTGAAATTTGCACTAACTAGATGACCTTTCAAAGAATAGAAGCTCCTTTCACTGTGATACAGAGTTTCTAAGAAATAAAGTTTGTTGAGAATTTAATATAGTAAGACAGTAGCTGACACAGTTCTCAGTTCTCGCAGTATTGCCATGACGTACTAGTTCTGTTATCCTATTTTATAGAACAGGAAGCTAAGGCTTAGTAGAGTGAGCAAAACTCCCAAATCACAGGGCTAATAAGTGACACAGCCACAGACTGTGCTGCTCAGAGTTGGGTTAAAGACTCTTCCTTGCTTCTGCTGCCTCAATGTCAGCCACTGTCCTGCACTGTCTGTGTCTCTGTACCTGTCCCTCTGTCTCTGCTCTGTGAATTGAGTCCTTGTCCATTTCTCATAGGACACCTTCTCAGGTTCCTCTTGTAGGTAAAAGTTTTCTGCCTCTAGAACGACTTTCCATTCTTCACTGTATGATGAGAGCAAGTACCTCTTTTATTCTCCTGTGGCCATTTTTCATTGCACTGGCCCCACATGGCATAAGCATGAGAGCCCTCCCTCTCCCTGACCTGGGGCCTCTCTATGAGGTATGGGGCAGTAAGACAGGACGGCAATGGTAAGGCCCCATCATCTTACCAATGGGCCCTCCTGCAGCACAGAGACCATCTCTCCAGAAAACAATCACGAGTCCAGCTGGACACACAGAGATAAAGTCCATCTTCGCCAGTAACCCCAGAATTTCTAACAGAAATGTGACACCATTTTCACTTGACTCACCTCCTGATCCAGCAAAAAATGGGAAGGTATTCTAATTCCCAGTGTTGACATAGGTGTGAGCCTATGGAGTCATAAACTAATAAAACCTCTCAGACATAGTGAAACGGGGAGTATGTTTTGAACCAGTATTTTGCCTCCATACTCTCAGATTCTAATGAATATTGAACCCTATGTAATAGATTCATTTTTCCAAGCAGACTTTGCAATTATGCAAATATTCCAACTATTCTAGAATTAAGCAAATAAGTAAATATATTGTAGAGAATTGAAGGCTGGTTTTTCCACTTTTGGAGAAGGAAATTACATATGGAAAAGGAGGGTGTGGATCTGCAAACTACAGTGTCCTGAATTTGATTCTGGTCACGGGCACATGACCAGGTTGTGGGCTCCATGCAGAGGTGCGGGCATGCAGGAGGAAGCCAATGAATGATTCTCTCTCAACATTAATGTTTCTATTTCTTCCTCTCCAAAATCAACGAAAAAAAATTTTTAATAAATATTTATTGTTAAGATTATTACAGTTGTTCCTCTTTTTCTCCCCATAGCTCCCCTCCACCTGGCTCCCACTCTACCCTCTGCCCTTACCACACCACCCACTCTCCTCTTTCATGGATGTACAATTTTTGTCCAGTCTTCCCGCACCCCCCAAAACTTTGCCATGGAGAATTGTTAGTTCACTCCTTTTCTATACCCGTGATTCTATTATATTCACCAGATTATTCTTTTCATCAGATTTTTTATTCACTTGATTTTTAGAATCCCATGTTGATATGTGTTTCTTGTTCATCATTTTTATCTTTACCTTTTCTTCCTGTTCTTAAAGAGTATGTTTCAGCGGTTTATATAATACTGGTTTGGCAGTGATGAACTCCTTTAGCTTTATCTTATCTGTGAAGCTCTTTATCTGACTTTCAATTCTGAATGATAGCTTTGCTGGGTAGAATTATCTTATTGTAAATTCTTGCTATTAATCACTATGATATTTCTTGCCACACCCATCTGGCCTGCATAGTTTCTGTTGAGAAATCAGCTGACAATTATATGGATGCTCCCTTGTAGGTAACTAATTGTTTTTCTCTTGCCAGTTTTAATATTCTCTCTTTGTCTTTTGACCTTGGCATTTTAATTATGAAGTGTCTTGACGTGGTCATCTTTGAATTCCTTTTGTTTGGAGTTCTGTGCACTTCCTGGTGTCATAAGTCTATTTCTTATGAAATTTTCAGTCACTTTTTCTTCAAATAGGATTTCAATATCTTGCTATATCTCTTCTTTTGGCACAACCAAAATTCTGATGGTATGCTTGAAGTTGTCCCAGAGACTCCTTTTACTATCTTCGTATTTTTGCATTATTTTTTCTGTTTGCTTCCAGGTTGGCTGTTCTTTGCTTTTTTCTATTTCAAATATCTGAATTGATTCTTGCGATCCTCTAATCTGCTCTTGGATCTCTGTATATTATTATTTATTTCAATCAGCCTATGCTTAATTTCTAATTGGTCCTTTTTAATATCCTCGAGTGTCTCACTAAATTTATCAGCTGTTTCTAGAAAATTCTTGAAAAACCTTATAACCATGGTTTTGAACTATATTTTCTTCATTTCTTTCATTTGTGACTTGTTTCTTTGTTTTCGCATTTTGGCTGCTTTCGCTTTGTTTATAGAGTAACTTTATGTGCTAGGTGTCCTAGAGGGCTCAGTGGCTCAGTCTCCCCAGACCTGTGGACTCTTGAGTGCACAGTCTTGTTGTAATTTTGCCTTGATTGTTGTTGCTATCACTGGGAGGAATTGACCTCCAGGCCCATTGACTGTGAGAATCAGCTGTGTCTGCATTGGGAGAACTTCTGTGCTGGAGACACCCTTATGGTGCAAGACTTGCTTCATTGTGGCTTCAGTGCTCACTGAGTCTGCTTCCTGAGTGTGTCACTTATGGATGTGAGGAGTTGTAATCTGGATGGTACTGCTCTGACTATTGGGTACACTGGTTCTTGGATCTCAAGGAGGTGCTAATTTAGCTTCTGCCTGAGGCCACCCAGCAGGAGCTATGGAGAGATCTGCAGATTCCTCTTTTTGTTTGGGGTTTCGAAGTGCCCAGATGAGGTCCAGCTATGAAACAATGCAAGCTGTTGTGGAGCCTTGGACCTTCTTTTGGATGTTCTGACCCAGCTACAGTTCGTTAGGTAATTTTAGATTGCAAAGGGCCAAGTGGTTCATATGCAAGAGCCACTATGCACAGATTGGATGAGGCGGGGTCTCAAGGAATCCACAGGGCAGAGCAAACAGCAATGGCTGATCCTCAGACCTGCCCTAAGAGGCCACAGTTCTCAGTGTTCTACCATAATTGCTGCAATTACCTCTGAGAGAAAGCAGCCCTCGAGTTCCACCCACTACCGGACAGTCCATTTTCTCCCCATATGAGTCTGGGTCCCCAGAGTCTTGCCTGGAACTGGAGTTCAGAGCAGTCAGGACTTTGTGTCTCCCTCCCATTTGAGAAAGACAACCACATACTTAGTTGCCAGCCCTTTCCGTGCACCCCTGTGTACCTTTGCACTGTAGTTCCACACTTCTTCTGAGTCTCAGTGTGCTTTTCTCTTTCCTTCTAGTGGTAGAATTTCCACTCACCAGCCTTCCTGTCATTTTGAATAATGTTTGTTTTGTCTTTAAGTTGTAGTTTTGAAGTGGTTGTGCGAGACAGGAATTTCAGGTGTTTACCTATGCCGCCATCTTGGCTTTTTTTTTTGTTTTGTTTTGTTTTTTTGTTTTGTTTTGTTTTAATGGAAAAGGAAGAAAGGGAAGAGGTTGAACACCTAATGAATCTTAGGTGTTTGATTAGGCCTAGAGGTATCATATGACCTCTTAGTTTTTAAGATTGATAGATAAGGAGTGTGGATGAAATGGGCCCCATGTTTACCTAACAAGCTCAGGGAAGGCCTGTAGAATGTTCTTATAAACTCAGAGATGTAAAATAACCACAAAGGATAGTCTGAAATTCAACTTGAACTAAAAGTAGTTATGATTGGGTAGTTACATCCTTGGCCAGTATCTTCTCTGACAAGGTCAACTTTTACTTTAACTGAGCTTATCTGTCTTTCTGCATCTATAATATCAAATTCTTGAAATGTCTGGGTAACTTGTAACTTCCCTTTTTCCAATCCCTTTGAGATACAACCTAATTTGCCTTAGCCCCTGGACAGATACACAAATTCCTTCCTTGTTATTTTTATCACTAGAGGCCCAGTGCACAAAATTCATGCATGGAGGGGGTTGTCCCTCAGCCCAGCCTGCACCCTCTCCTTGAGGAGATGTCCAACTGCCCGTTTAGGCATGATTCCACTGGGGACATCACTCTCACAATTCAAGGCTACTGGCTCCCAACTGCTTGCCTGCCTGCCTTCCTGATTGCCCCTAACCACTTCTGCCTGCCAGCCTGATTGCCTCCTAACTACTCCGCTGCCTGATTGATGCCTAACTGTTCCCCTGCCAGCCTGTTTGTTCCCAACTTCCCTCCTCTGCCAGCTTGGTCACCCCTAACTGCCCTCCCCTGCAGAGTTGATTGCCTCCAACTGCCCTCCCTTGCGTGCCTGATGCCTCCCAACTGCCCTCCCCTGCCGGCCATCTTGTGGTGGTCATCTTGTGTCCACACGGGGGCAGGATCTTTGACCACCTGGGGTTAGCCATCTTGTGTGTCAGAGTGATGGTCAATCTGCATATTACTCTTTTATGCGATAGGAAAAAGGCCTAGTGTAAGGTGAGGGCCAGCTGTTTTGCCCTGAATGGTGTCCCGGATTTGAGTGGGTGTTCCCTTGGGGTGTGGGGCAGCCTGAGCGAGGGGCCTGTGGTGGTTTGCAGGCCAGCCACACCCCCTGGCGACCCAAGCGGAGGCCCTGGTATCTGGAATTTATGTACCTTCTACAATTGAAACTTTGTAGCCTGGAGCAGAGCTAACCTTCC